AAGGTAGAAAGCAAGCAAACCATGCATGCTCACAAAGTCACAACAAACTCCTCCAACCTTTGAAGTAATAATCTACAAAGACAAAGGGTATTATGGTCATGTAATTGTAACGCATGTATCACAGCAACTTAGTTTCAAGGCCCAAGTAACCAGATCCTTACACTCACTCAGTTCCATTTTGATAAAGACAAACTCCATTCTGTCACCTTCCAGTACCAATAAATCTCTATCTCTCTATCTCTCTCTCTCTCTCTCTGCAGCACAACCCACCATACAAACCAAACAAATATTCATCAATCATAGCCCCCCATTCTTGCTCTGCTTATGCTAATGGCCACCACCACAACCACAGCTCAGTAAAAATTATAATGAAAAACAATGGAGTCAGACAGACCCCATCGCACCAAAAGCAACAGCAGCATTAGTGGCACTACATCCACAACTACAAGCGAGCTCTTCATTTGCTTCACTACTTCTCGCCTCTCTTCTTCATCCATGAAGCTCTCCTCCAAGTCCATTCTCAGCCCAGGCCGAGCCAGAGAGCCTTCCCAAATCTCCCTCTCCTCTTCTCTCAGCCGCAGGCTTAGAACCAGTGGAAGCATCAAGGGTGGCCAAGCCTCCCCAATGTTCCCCAGCAATGGTGGCACTAGTAAAAAACGTGGGTGCGCTTTTGAAAACCCAGAACCGTCTTCCCCTAAGGTCACATGTATTGGTCAGGTCAGGGTCAAGACCAAGAAACAGGGCAAGAAAATGAGGATAATTAGTAGATCCAAGCGCAGCAGGGGAAGTGAGGCTAGTTTCAGAAAACCAGAGCAAAATCAGCAGAGCACCAACAACACAGCTAGTCAAAGTCAAGAGCTTTACAATCGAGACAACAGCAGCAACAACTTCCAAGGTTTGCACTTTCAAAATCACCAGATGAATAATAATAATCAACAGGAATGCTTAAGGCACAGAAACCAGAGGTGGGTTCATCTTCCTTTGACGATTTGTGAAGCTTTGAGGGCTTTTGGGTCCGAGTTTAACTGCTTGATTCCGAACCGGTCTTCTTGTTTGGCTAGTGATGACAATAATAACAAGGAGAAAGAAGAAAATAAGGGAGTGAGATCAGAGAGTGGAGGGTCATCTTGTGGCGCAGTCTTTGCGAGGTGGTTTGTTGCTTTGCAAGATGGGGATGGGAAAGGGAGAGAGATTGAGTTGGTGGTGGGTGAAGATCAAGAAAGAACAGAGAGAAGTACTAATAGTAGCAGTGGCCATAGCCAGAGGAGGCAAGTGTTTGAAGGTATTGAGTTCAAGGAAGAGAGATTGAATGAGAGTGTAATGGAGGAAGAAGAAGCGGGGAGAGTGAGCATTTGCGTTCCTCCAAAGAATGCTCTTTTGCTTATGAGGTGTAGATCTGATCCAGTGAAAATGGCTGCTCTTGCTAATCGATTTTGGGAGATGCCTGCTGCTCCTCAAGATGAAGAGGGTGAAGATGAAGAGGAGAAAGAGGACAAGGGTCTTACAGAAAGAGCACAAGACTTTGTAGAAGAACAAGGTACTGAAGAAGTACTTGAGCAGGTGCAAAATGGGTTGGAGACACAGGTTGCTGAAGGGGATGGTGTGTGTGAGAAATGGGTTTGTGATGGTGAAGAACATGGAGACTTGGAAGAGGTAGAAAATTTGGTTTTAGAAGAAGAGGGGGATGAGAAAGAAGGTTTGGATGAGAACCCAGAAAAAAGGCAGCAACTTTATGATGAAGTACAAGAGATTGAAGAAAAGGCTGAATGCCAACAAGAAACAGAGATAGAGGAAGAAGGGGAGCAAGAATTGGATGTTACCCAGCAAGCATTGTCAGAAGAGTGTTGTGTACTTGATGCTGTTGCAGATCCAGAAAGGTTAGAACTTGAAGAAAATGACCATGAATGTGAAGCTACAGAACAGGAGCAAGAGCAACAAGAAGAAGAAAAAGAAGAGGAAGTGAGAGAAGTAAAGCTTCCAATACCTTCCAATGAGTGTGTAAAGTCAGAAGAACTAGAAGAAGAGGAAGAAGAAGAAAAAACAGAGGCTGAAGTTGCAGACGAATCAACAGAGACAGTAACCCCAGATAGACCTGAACCCGTACCCGAAAACCCGAAAACCCAATTAGATTCCGGGTCGAATAGGGCGGTTCAGAATCCGGTCTTACCGGACTGC